TGGGCTGGTGCAGGCTCACTGCATGTCTGCCCTGGGCTGGTGCAGGCTCACTGCATGTCTGCCCTGGGCTGGTGCAGGCTCACTGCATGTCTGCCATGGGCTGGTGCAGGCTCACTGCATGTCTGCCATGGGGTGGTGTAGACTCACTGCATGCAGTGGCTCAATCTTGGACTTCCCATCCAAACTATGAGAAAAACATGTCTGTTCTTAGCACATCGCCCAGTCCGTGGTAATGCTGTCACTGTGGCACAAAAGGACTCAAGGAAAGCCTCACTCCCCATGTGGTAATGTTTAGGTATTTCAAGTGGGGTGTTTGGGAGACAGGGTGAGATGCCGTCCTGAGGGATGTACCCCATGATGGGACTAGAGCCCTTACAAAAGAGATCACAGGTGCACAATACTCTCCCCCCTCTTCCTGTCCTTCCCTCTTCGTCCTTCCCCTCTTCTCTGGGACACAGAGGAAGCAGCCATCTGTCCTGCAGGTGAGATCCCCTTTTGCATATCGACTGAGTTTCCGTCATGTAGCAGGCATCAAGCTAACTCTCAACCTGGGGTAACTCTTTCAGGGCCCACCAGTGTTACAGTAGCCTTGGTGGGGACTGTGTGGAGGCCAGCCTGGCCTGGGTGGCACCCCAACATTCAAAGCTGCTGAAAACATTTTTTTAAAAAGTGTTAATCCAGCTGTGCCTGTCAATCACCTGGCCGAGGACCACCCCTCGGGAGAAAGAGTTTACTTTAAGCTTGTTAAAGGTAGGGGAGGAATAATTATCCCTTAATGAATTCCCACCCTCAGTGCGGTGGCTTACAGATCCACAGCCATGCGGTTCATTCCGCCCAGTTCTCTGAATTACTCAGAAAGAGTAATCTTTCTACCCCTGTTCTAAGCATGCTTACCCTACACTTTGGACATGGCTTTTTCTGTAAAGCTCCCCGCTCTGCCATGTGGATGCTTGTCCACCACATGGCTGACCTCCAAGCCTAACTCTAAGAAGATATCGTCAGGTTTCCTCTTCTCCATCTCCCTCCTCCAGGCAGCTGCCTAGATTCACAGTTTGCTTGCTTTGAAATTTTTCCTTTGGCCAGGCAGTGGTGGTGCACGACTTTAATCCCAGCACTTGGGAGGCAGAGGTGGGTGGATCTCTGTGAGTCTGAGGCCAGCCTGGGCTACCAAGTGAGCTCCAGGACAGTCAGGACAACACAGAGAAACCTAGTCTCAAAAAAAACAAAATAATCTTTTTTTCTTTTAAACTCTAATAACATTATCCTCAAGCTTTCTTTGGAGTCCATTCTTCTATTCTTTGATTAATGAGACCATGACCTCCAAGAGGAGG